TTCTCCCTTCCTCTCAGATATTCCCAAGAAGAAAATTCACTCAGGCTGGCCCCTGAAATGATCCATAGATTAATAAGATTTTAATGGACTCAAACTTTATGATTAAGAAAAAATGCTTACAGGATCTTAGAATTGTCTAGGGTCTTTTAAAGCAAAATTTTGTAAATGCTAACCAATTAGAATTTTTTCCTTCTAAGTTCCTAGATTTTTCTGTACTTAAACTCTGTGAAAATTTCCTCTTGCCAGAGTACTTTTGTGAATCTTCATGAAGTGCTGCCTGATCTATATCATACTATTCATTCAATAAAACTCTTTCCTTTAATCTTAACAGAAACTCCAGTTTACTCTTATACACTTATTGGTGCCAGAGGTGGAATGGAAGATTCATTGCCTACAACTACTCCTGAGGACTCAGGACCAGACTTCAGTACCAAGCAGGGCTGTCTGGGCTCACTGCTCCATGAATTTATGGAGACTCACTGCCAGGTAAATAACTTCTCAAATCTCAAGCTCCTTCCCTTTGCACAGAGCTCTTAGAAAGTATTGAAGGATTCTGGTTTCATTGTTGTTCTTGTCTGTTGCATTTGTCTTACCTGTTTTAAATTCTGGTCTTGCAAGAATTTTGCAAAGTTTACTTCCAATAGTGATAAAGGAGCCCGGGTGCCATAGTGCCTAAGGCATTTGACTGCTAATCAGAATGCTGACAGTTCAAAACCACCAGCCATTCCTTGGAAGGAAGATGAGGCAATCTACTTCTGTAGTGATACTGCCTCGGAATCCTAAGCGGGGGAGGGGGTGCTATGAGTTGAAATTGACTCAACGGCAGTGAGTTTTTTGTTCTGCTTGTATGATTTTCAATACAACAGGCTATGTAGATGTTGAGTAGTGGAGAAGCTACTTCTAATAAGTGTATGTACTGTTTACATCTTCTATCTACAGAATTCTTTCTCTATTACTGAAGTGCCCTTAAGTAAAATGTCATAGAAGTCTTATTAACTCTTAAATACACTGTCTGTAATGAACCTAGGCACCTTATGTTTTCTTTGGAACAAGAGGGACTTCACATAGTAAACTAAATACATATTGAAGTCAGTAATCAGGTTCTGGGCAGAAAAAAACATTGAAATAGTGACCAATAGGAGCAAGAACAGCTACAGCGCAACACTGAGGTCTGAAGGTTCACTTGGCATAAATTTACATATTCCAAATGTTAATGTGCAATATTTAAGATTAAAATACGTTAGCTTTTTAATATCTTTTTGAAATAGTGAATATATATTTAATGGCTTAAAGCCATGATTTCCAGCTTCCTTAGAAATCATCAGTCTTTTCATCTCCCTTTC